ATCTCGAAATTCAAAGTACCTTCATATCCGATTGTACTTCAGCATCCATAAATCTACGACCAATAAGACGTTTGGTGCCAAAAACAGTATTATAAGGATTCATGGCGACTTGGTTTTTTGCGGCGTCACCAATCAAACGCTGTGTATCGGTGAAAGCAACATTAGCCATACACCGACACAAGAGCATGCCGTTCCTAAATCGATACCAACTAAAGTGCGTAGAAAAAAAAAGAATATTAAAATGTTAAAATATTAAACATCAAAATTTCATTTTATATCAGCGTACCAGCTTTTCCTTCTGCCATTTGTAAACTTTATTTATAAATATGGGTTGCTTTTTTTTTATGAAAACGATAACGTTTAGAAAAAAAGATTTTTTTAAAGTTTAAAAACGCTTATGTGGAAAACTTTTTTAGGAATGAGAAATAAAATGCCTTTCATCGTAAAAATGAGACCATTATTCGTATTATTTTATATCTATTTCTAAATTTGAGTTGATGGTGAACACATTTTATCCAAAAAGGGATCGTCTAGCCGGTTAGTCACGCGAACACTAGCCGCTGTGGCTTGTGTTCGGTGTAACATTAAACATAGTAACCGCATAAAATTTCACGGGTACGTGATGATATGCGCTAAAATTCCATTGGCCAATTCTTAATGATAGGGTAATGGTGAACATTCGGGTTAGGGTTATAGGAGGCTTATATATAGCAAATTTTGTAAGGAATTTTTTTTAAGAAACTGAAGGGGATTTTATAATCGCCGGCAGTTTGTTTTGTTTTCTGTTACACCTAGTCCTGTGTCGTAATTGGATTAAAGTCACGTATCCGCGGACCTTTTGCGGCTACTATGTGTAATGGCGTAACCATAGCCACGAGGCTGCCTCACTAGAGTCGTCTCTCACACGTGTCCCAAAATCTAGTGTAACGATCAAGTGTAACAATGCAAACCTTTTTTTATTCTAACGTCAAACCTAAACCTATTGTCACGGAGTTTACTAGCACCGTGAAATAGTTGAATTTCCTTTGGTGTATAACTTGCTTAGCTATTCGACTGGAGTATCGTTCGGGTACTCCACCATTCAATTAGATACCTTATTAACGACAAAACTCAACCACTTAGTGTATATAAGTAAGAACATCTATTTACCAAAGCCTAAGCTAAGAGCTTTCTTTCTGTTATTCAATATTCTCTTCGCTTTAAATATTACAAGATTTTACCGGAGTTTAATTTATACGGTTACACGCATTAAACTAAAATCAAATCAAAATTTGAATTTGTATCAAATAGTTAAAAATTTAATCAAATATTTTCAAATATTTGATTCAAATTCAAATTTTGATTTGATTTTGCAGAGTATTAATTAAACTATCTATAATTAGACTAAATCAAGCATTACGCAAATTCCGATCACGCCATTTAGGTAGCCGATCCTAATTCAGCACCACGAAATCCCGTGGTTACAAATCGAATCAAACTCAAATGAAACTTACAAAACGCAAACTTACCAAATGCAGTTATTACAGTTCCTGCGGATTTCAATGACTCGCAACGTCAAGCTACTAAAGATGCTGGTATGATTGCTGGATTAAATGTTCTCCGTATCATTAGTGAGTCTACAGCCGCGGCTATCGCTTATGGTTTAGATAAGAAGGCCGCCGGTGAAAGAAATGTGTTGATCTTTGATTT